TTCGATTCATTTTCTATACGTCGATATGTATTTGATGCAAATTGTCGGAAAATGATGGCTGTTGATGAACCTCCCAAAGTGATATCTACAGTTGATAAGGCCACTGATGCAATCAGGCACAGATTTCAACTTGTTACTCAGGTATTCATCTTGTTTCTTTTGACGAAGTTTCTTTCTGTTTCTTTTCTCTTCTCTCGGTTTTCACGCTACCTCAATATGCGTTACAAATTGCAGCGGATAGCCCGGTGTAAACAACTGCAGAGTATCAAATTCAGTACAATCGAATCTCTGCTAGGAAGTTCGCGAGTGCAAAACGATGTCATCGTTATTGGTATGCTCACACAACAAAAGGTATGTTTCGAACTTTTACGAGTTCAACTGTCAAATGCAAGTGGAGCTGAGGTGTCAGTGGGAGCAGAAAATTGTTCATTTTACTGGGGCTTGTCAGATATTTTCCCGTCAGGTCCTATCGGTGTCAGCGGGATACAGTCTAGTTTGCTGCGGATGATTTAGTATATCGGGGCTTATAAGTTTGGCACGACACCTGCCCGTTTCTTCTCCATTTTTTCTTTCAGCAAGCGACAAGGCTGTATCATACCGTGCGTTTCAGATGTTTTACGCCAGTCGTTGTCGCTTACCCACTTCAACAGCTGGTCGAAAGCGGGCTGTTGGCGCCCCAAACCCAGTTTTACTGACACGCCCCATCATCCGCAGCGATAAGACTACACCTAAGCACGAAAAAATCCCTCAGTCAAAGCTTCCTTGTCAAGCTCCAGACAGGGTTCCAACGGATAACTGCTAAGCCTACGATATCAAGATCTGCTGAAGCCTCAAAAAATCTGCAAAGCGATCTTATTACAAAGTGAAAACAATACCAGAAGAAGGTCGAAGGTTTTGAGAAAGAAGCTGCGATTGAGGGAAGGTCTGCGAATTTTTGAGTTTTCTTTATGCGCGCTTGTATGTTACTGAAGATGGTGCCACGCAAGAAGCTTTTCCCTTGCTCAGAAAAAGTACAGTCTCGTGAAGATGACGCTGAAGATGGCATTCGTTGGGGATGATGGGCATATCAGTTAAGGATGGGTTTAGCGCGTACCAGCCCTTCTTTATCTTCTTTGTTCTTTTGACATGCGACGGGACTGTATCATATCATGCCCATCGGTCGCTTTCCATTCTTATCTTCAACAACGAGCGGAAAACGTTTTGGCGGTGCGCCAAACCTAGCTTCATTAGCACACCCCATGAGCCGCAGCGAAAATCTAATATTGCTACTGTCCACTGCAGAAGGAATGGGAAATCCCATTCCTTCTGCAGTAAAAGGAAAAAAAATTCTGCTACATTCGTATATTTTCTATCTATTAGAATGCTCTAAAAGCAGTTATCCAGGTATATAGCGCCGAACTAGCGAATGATTTTTGATCAACGTGAATATCTCGTCTCATAGTGAGACAGATCCCTGAACAGCAATCTGGATTACTGAATTTTGGCTCAAGGAAAGAGGGCCGGCTTTTATACCTCGATGCCTATAAAACGTAGTGACAGCAATGGTGAAACGGGAGTAAGGGAAACCGTTCGTGGCTCGCTCAAAGGCAGCGCCCGCGTTCATTCGTTGTTCCCACGCCTTCTCTGGATATCGTAGCTCACCCTATGAGGATGGTGGACGTACTAGTTTCGCAACTCAAAAATGCGAGAGAATAGCGCCCGCTCGTGAAGAGTCGGCCACCCCGCCCACCTGGCGACCACTACGCCCAACTTCATTTCTAATGGTTGCCTGATGGTGCGGTTGTTCCACTACTACTCTCTCCACTTCGAATGGTGAGAGTGAGGTGATAAGGGAAAACAGCTGATACCAACAAGTGAGAACTCGTGCGGCCGCGCCTTCTCTTCGCCTTCAAGCACGTACAACCTCAGCTCGGCGTGGGGTCCTATATAGGGCATATCCGATGATTTTTTTGCATTTTTCTTCACTAATGAACTACTTGCTACCTTGTTGTCTCTGTCTGAGCCCCCATAACCCATCTAATTGTAAATTGCTTTAAGTACTCCATTATCCCGGGTAAACGGGAAAAGGGCTAAAAGAGGGGCCTGAGATCAAGTTGAGAGGGTGGTAGGTGGCGATGACGGATCAGATAAAGATGTGAGCTGCGGGTCCAAATGCGCCTGAGTTCAAGACTTTTGCCCACAAGGCAGGATTCTTGTGAGAACTTTCGAAGCGCGAACTGCGCCGCTAAAGAACGTTCATCATAATTAAACAAGTATAAAATTTTGTCACAGACCTGAGACTTGTTCACACACTCTTTATGCTTTATCTTCAATTTCTTTAGAGTCACTGCTACCATATAGAAGACTTGACAGGATCAATGCAGGTTGAGTTCAATGAAGAGACTCGCTTTCAACACGGGATGTTCACCGAAGGAAGTGTGGCTATTTTCCAGGTACTCATTCTTAACGCCATTTCCTTTCGACATTCGTGCGCTAGTTTGAAGACAAACTGTGCGCTCACAACTGTGGATCTTGTTCATTGTTGTATGAAGGATGAATGTCTCCGCAGCTGCAGTAGCGTGCCACTTTCTTCAGTCAGAAGTGTACAAGAACTAGGCGAGGAGGTTGTCGTACGCCTAACCATAGCCGAACGCGTTACTTCGCTGGACCCTCCCACTTCTGGTTGTTGCCGCTGAGTTGTGTTTGCTTCACATTGAGGATAACCTGGATGGAGTATGGAGACGGTACTTGAATATTGCTGTTCTCTAGCCCGTGCATTTTTGAGCGAAAAAAGTGGCACGTACTGCTGCTACGGACCCATTCTCCCATGGAAAAGACCGCCCTCCGAGGTAAATGCGGTTTTCGGTAGCTACTTATAAATATTGCTCAGTTATTTCTTGCTTAGATGGAACATTTATCATTATCCTAGCAAGTTTTCGGTGGCATTCGTAATGTTTCCCTCAACAGTTTTCTGGGAGGCGGCAATCCGGAGAATTCCAATGAGTTACTCATTGGCCTTCACTTGTTAGCTGGATTGAACCAGAACGACCTGAACTTCTTTACCGATTGACCTGAGCTTTTCTTTGTGGTGCATGCTTTCTGTGTAGGGTATGGAGATCGCGTTACGGCTGGTGTGGTTCAGCACCGTTCCCAGCCTAGACCAAACCCACCGTTTGTGGACGGTAAATGAGAAACAGGTCGTATGGGAGGATGAGAACCGTGACTTGTACATGAGTTTATCCCGTAAGCCATTGTGTCGGCCATGTATCATTTGAAATGCCATTACGATACTGAATGGAAAAATAGTGGGCATTCCAAAGTGGAGTCTATCAACGACGAGAGCTTTATCCTTAAACCTTTCTAGGGAACTTACGACTCATCTTTGCTTACCGTTCGTGAGGTAGCATCCGTACCATTAGAATCAGCAGAAGAAACGAGAGCTGTTTTTGGCAACGTGAATTGGTTCGGTGGAGATGATCCAGTGAGTCGAGGAACTGTGAGCTACTTCTTACGGTATTTCCGTATCACCATGTCCCCTTCAGGTCGCATTCCGATGTAATCCTAAATTGTGCGTTGCTGAACGAAGTAATCCCAACGCACAAATCGTGTTTTTGTCGGACGTGCACCTCGATAATCCAAGGGTAAGGAAAAGGTCGTTTGCAGAAAGGATGGATTTTCTGCTTAATTTATGGACGTTTTTACAGGTGATGCAAGCCGTTTATCATATGCTATCAGGATTTTCTGCTGACGCCCCCTTGGCTTTTATATTTTGTGGAAATTTCTGTTCCCGGTCACGGCAACAGGATACCATGGAACTGCTTCACACAGGTTTCCGAAGGTGGGACATCAGTCTTTTTCCCCTCAGTCTTTTTCCCCCTACGCTTTGTTTTCCTTTTGTACAAATTGACCGTGCAAAATCTGTCTTTCGCATTTAGTGTAAGGAGATGTAAACAACTAAATCTTTCACTTTCATTTAGACTTGCTAACCAGCTGAATGACTTTGCTTCTTCATTCACATCCACCCATTTTGTGTTTGTTCCTGGACCAGATGACCCATGTTTGAATATGGTACGTGCTACCGGTCTTCACCTTTTTACGGTGGAGTGTTGAATGTGACACGATCGTTCGTTTAGATGTTGCCGCGTCCTCACCTTCCAAGTGTTCTCTTCAAATACTTTGAGCAGATTCCAAACTGTGTCTTTGCAACAAATCCTGTTCGGATACAGTACGCCAGCCAGGAAATAGTGGTTTTCCGAAATGACCTTGTTGAAAGAATGTGCAGGTTTGTCTTCAATTTTTTTTCACTCGCTACTTTTTCGGATCTAAACGTGCACCAAACCGCAAGTATGCCGTAGGTTCACATAGAGTAAAATTTATTATTTAGGCATGCCGTAAATGCTGTTGCTTCTGAAAACATACCCAAAAGCTTCGCCAAGACAGTTTTAAGTCAGGTATTGTTTTGTGTGGTTAAAAAAACATTGTGCACTCAAAGTTTAAACATTTGTACCCTAACATTAGCCGGAGACCACATGCGACTGAACAGAGACTATCAGTTTTCAATCACCTATTTTCATCGCTGTATTGGTTCTACAGGTAATCGATCGGTACTGGTTCCATTGGTTTACAGGTTCATTTATCACCGTTGCCGGCACATGTATCTCCTGTCCTTTGGGAATTTGATCACGTGATGAGCTTGCACCCACTGCCCGACTTGCTCGTTGTTGCTGACAAGTTTCGATCGTTTGCCGAGATTCAAGCAGGTTTGCTCGGTAGTTATATTTTTAGTGAAGGACTAATATCGGGTTAGCCTCTCGTCAGCAAGGTACGTCTTGCCGTTGAGGAAAGTTTTTGCAAAATGCGATCCTCCCCCTCCCCCTCCATCACCTCCCTTCCTCCTCGAAATGTCTTCCTTCTCAGGACTTGTAGGACCTCCTCCCTTTCCCATCTTACCTACAATTTTCTCAGATCTTACTGTTACTGTGTTTTCTGAAAATTCCACCTTTTTCTCCCTGAAATCTGCCGTCTCGCGGAGGCTGGGGCTGCATGTAGCGCAGGAACAACCGTGAAAACCCAATAGTCATGAATATTCATCTCCAAGGCAATTGCAACCCCCCTCTGCGGCCAAGTGCGACCCTCCTCATTGGGTATCCTCAACATACAACGTGCTCTGGGAGGCAGTGTCGTGAAGCGAACAACTACATGCCCATCAAAAAGCCGGAACATAAATGTAGCACTATTTGCAGTATTTTTCCCTGAAATTATCCTCGACTCAAGCAAAATCTAGCTTGTCGAGCTTGTTTTCGGGGTACTGGGCATTAAGCAGTAAGAACCTTTCTTGAGATAACCGTAACTTTCTTAGAAACGGAGTGTTTGTCAATCGGCAAGCGGCACCATAAAGCCCGAAGTCATAGTTTTCCAAATGTATTCAACTTTTTCTGGATCTTTCCCAGTTTGAGAAATACCTTTGGATGGGTTTTTGGTGCAATAATCAAGAACTTTTTTGGAAAACCAAGTATTTCCTCATAAAGGGTACCACATATCTCCGGAAAACGTCCTTGTCTGAGAAATATTTCAGTGGCATTCTGACGAGAGGGTTTCTGAGCCACTCAAAAGCTCCTTCCCACACCTGGGATCCCTGCAGTACTGATTCCGCGAGCTCGTCGACTCTTTGCTCCATCCCAACCGGCCTAGTACAACCTTCTCATAGGATTCTTCCAGTGACGCTGCACCGTGTTCTTCATTCGTAGCAGAGCATTAGCTTGCTGCTGTTTGTATGACTCTGAAAAAAAAACATTATCGCTAGATATTTCAAGAATGGTTATTTGCAGAAACAGTTGTGTCTAATCCCGGCTCATTCTCGAACGGGTCTTTCGGATTTCACGTTTACCTCCCGTTTGAGCGGAAAATTGAGGATAGCGCTATAGACCTGCCAGCCGATCGGTGACGACTGTACACTCTTAAGACTAAAGTTTTGTAGTGTTTTACTGAATTTGGATCTCTTTGTGATTTCTACTACAATTCTTTTTCACTTCTAGTAGATGCTCTTTGCTCAATTGCTGACCATTATATCACTTGTTCCCTTCCTGTACTGTAACTGTGATCTGCCTCGTAAAAACTGCCAGCGCCAATGCTCGCTTTCCTAACCTCCCACCTAAACTGATTTCTTGATGAACATTCCATTACATTTCATTTTGTATGTTGAAAGCATTAAGGATTGATTTTGGATTACACAAGGCCTTTTCAGTCTCATGATGTTCATGCTAGAAACTATGTTTTTCTGTTTCTTTCTAAGCTGTTCTTTCTAAGCTTTTTTCCTTGGTAAATTTGGACAAATCTCGCTCATCTTGTTTGTTTTCGCTCGATATGGTTGTATTCTTTATAATTTCTACCAACATTTCAACGTTAGGTAATGAAAGTCCAAAAGGAATGTTTACTTGCATTCATCCTACTATTAGGTTGTTCGGAAAGAAATGCGCGTTTGAGTTTAAAAAATTTTTATTATAAAAACGAAATTAAACAAGATCAATTCAAAAGATAATCTCCATTACTATCAATGACTTGTTGCCAACGTTTATGCAAAGAATGGATTCCTCTTTCGAAGAACTCGGCCGGCTGCGACTCAAAGTAGTTGGACACCCAGAGTTGGACTTCTTCGCGGTTTGTGAACTTTCTCTCGGCCAGGGAGTGCTGCATCGACCGGAACAGATGGTAATCGGATGGTGCCAGGTCTGGGCTGTATGGCGGATGAGGCAGGACTTCCCAGCCCAATTCCTCAATTTTTTCCAAAGTGATTTTCGCGACATGTGGACGAGCGTTGTCGTGGAGGAATTTTGTCGACGTCGTTTCGACACCTTGACGACGCAGTGCTTGATCCACGCGGTTCAATTGATCTTTGTAGATGTCCGCCGTAACTGTTTGACCCGAATCCAGTACTTCAAAGTACACACAAACCTTTGCTGTTCCACCAACACAGAGCATCACCTTTTTGCCGTGTATATCCGGTTTCGGAGTCGGTTTTGGAGTGTCACCGGCGTCTAACCACTGTCTTTTTCGCGTTGCGTTGTCGAAGCAGATCCATGTCTCATCTGATGTAACAATAGAGTCGAAGAAACCGCTGTTCTTGGAGCGACGAAGAAGAATTCCGGCCATTGCCACTCGTGTTGCCTTGTTTGCGTCGCTCAGCTGGTGCGGTCAACTT